ATTTCGCATGGGACTGACGATTTATGGACTTTTTCAAGCACACCTGTTGATCGAAGTAACCCGCATAAGCGAGGAAAGCTCCCGAAAGTAGCGCATCTCCAATAAGCGTATCCATCTGTTGAGCGAATCCATCACAGCCACCTGACCAACGATCACGTTCAGATCTCAGTGACGATAGCAATTCCGTTGATCGTCCAACCTTGAAAGCCAACGTAATTATAACAAGTAAATGGTACCAATTGTGGCACAAACCTTCTCCTGGACAGTTGCCAAATCCATCTTGATACTCTCGGCTTGTCCGATCAACTGTGCGTATTCCTCCTTGTAGGCAGCAATAGACTGCTCAAGTTGAGCAATACGTGCCTTCACCTCATTACCCTCAGTGGTCTTCTTCTTGGCATCGGATTCGAGCCGTTTCAGCTCATTACGAAGAGGTTCCACCTAATTAGAAAATTTTAACGATATCAACTCATTAAGTATGATGAACTGTTTACCTTGTGCAACATTCCAGAGTACAGCAGCTGAGCCTTTGCCCATTTCACCATAGGACCGCAAGCTTGTGAAGCACGATTGACCTAATAAACAGAACAAGAAATAGTGGCAGTAATGAAGGAGAATTATTGGAAGGAGGAATAAGCAATGCAAAAATGATGGGACACAAAAGTATTACAAACTCACTTTGTCGAAGTCCCAGTCAGGATTGTTTACATATTTCTCCATCTGCTTCAAGATGTCCGTCGTGATGCTGTCAGTATCGAAGGCGAGAATCCGTGGCATGAAATCGTCTTTGACCATGACACCACGAATCGCCTGCAATGGTGAAAATGTTGAAAACAGAGAGAATACACTAATGAGTTCCACCAAATTTATCCTGCTTTATGGATACTACATTGAACAAAACTCGTTGGGTGCGCCAAACATTCGACTATCATTCTGAACCTTAATACAATAGCATTTGAATGCGGACTAGTTCTACACTGTGACTTGCTGGATTGAATCCGCTGCATGAGGCGGTCTTTTATACTACCAGACGTAGCTGAAGCCTTCTTACAGAGAACTATTGGTTAGTTTGGATATGATTCAATCATTCGACCATGCGTTTGGTAAGGGTGCCATTTGACATGGCCCCTTTCCTTGATATGATTTCCCTTAAGAATTGAGCAAGACTGTGAAGAGAGACCTACCTTCCAATCGGTACCAACATTCTCTCCCAGCAGAATGCAAATGGCTTCGAGTGCCAATTTCACCATCACTGGTGGACTTGCCATTGACCTGACCTCCACAAGTTGATTCTTTCTGATTCCTTTGACAGCTTGCTGGGCTTCTTCGACAGCTGGCTCGACCTACAACGTGTAGAATATCAGATCGTCAGGAACGACTTGTTCAACTCAATTCCCTACTCTTTATATAGAAGACCAGTTAGAGCTCTACAGCTCAAATCCAAAGAACGCATGAGAGACAATATAAGAGCTCAAACCACCAACCTGACTGAGATCTTTCTGCACTTCGGTTTTCTTTGCTGCGATCTGCGTCAGCTGCGCTGCCAATTCCTTTTGAAGTTGCTCAGACAAACGTTTCTCGTCTTCAGCCTTGAACGGTAGTCATTCTAATCATATTTTCCGCAAAAAAAAAACACTGCTTTCAAGAAACCTTTTGCTGATCAGCCAACATTTCCTTTAGTTTCAAGTTGGCAGCCGTCTTCTTCTCCTCCAGCTCACGGCTCTTCAAGGTGAGACTCTTTTGCAGTTCTTTCACCTGCTCTTCAGTTTCACGAATCTTGTTCAAACCAATGTTGAGATGCACCTGAAAGAGTGTTAAGTTGTGAATACCGTCATGTCAATACGAATAAATAATCATCTCATACCTTCTCCTCCTCAAGGTCACGACGTTTTTCATGGAACAAACTCATGAAATGCTTGATGAGGTCGAGGAAGTGGCGCGGGGGTCACCAGCATAACCCTGTGGCCACGCTTCTGTTCCTGCAAGATAATCGAGCTTTGACTCTAAGTAAAAGAAGGGAAATCTTTCAGAGACAGCATCCAGAAAACTCAATCAATAACAAAGGAGAAATGAGTAACACCCCATTAGTGGCCCATAGAAATCCCACTTACCAAAGAGTCCTGCAAGGCAGTCGATAAACTACACTTCCACCTCGTTCACCACGAATAAAGAAAGTTTTAATTAAATCATTCTTCAATCAAAAACCAAACTTTTAGATGCCAACTCTACGATCCCGGTCTCATTTAGTTTGAAAAAAAAAATATTAACGAGCAACGCTCAAGAAAACTTTCATAGTGAATGACATGAAACTAGAAAAATTAGGTAAGGACCAACCTGCTCATTAAGTTTCTGCACAGATTTATGACAATGCACCAGTGTATTGATAACAGCATGACGGTACGTGGGCGGAGTTGGCACCAGATCACATACTTGCGATAATTGCAAACGGCGGGCTCGTAATTCCGTCCGGTCCATATCCAGGGCGTAGTCAGGTCCATGCCAACGTCTGAACAACACCTCTTGGAACCGAGTGAGGGATCAGAGTCCATGTTAGTCGCCTGCTGATTTGGACTCTTAGCCTCTCCTCCCTCTAACCCATCAATTTTCATTCTCTCTCTCTCTCTTCCTCTACCCCTTTTCACCACACATTATCTAGCTAACCTAGATATCACCTACTGAGACCAAGCCTTGCGCGCTGTGCTTACAAAAACCCCTCAACGTTTAGCGTCAGGACTACTATAAATTGGTTTTGATGGCTCAGAAAAACCCAATGGAATACTCTTTTTATTGGCTCTCCTATCGCGCCAGATTGATGAAATTCGCTCTATCCCAACCAATATGGATATGCCGTGAGAAACACCAAATCAACACGAAAATCTTTGGAGCCATATAAAAGCAATAGTTGGGAGTTCTCGAATTGAAGTTACCTGATATAAAGCTGTATCGGCCCAGTCTCCGAACCAGTTCAGTACACAACGATTGAACAACGCGGGTGACGTCGACGCTCGTTTTCACGTAAGGCCGCTACGCAGATGGAGTTCATTGCTGAACACATCATGGAGATTTCTTCATAAACTGCGAAAGGTATAATCCAAATTCAAAACTTTATTCAAAAGGCTGACTCTGAGTTATCAAAAAAAAGTGAGGTTGCAGAAGAAAACACACACCTGCATTGTGAACCACTTGTACAACTCGTCATGGCTGTCCAACATCAAGCCTTGTCGCTGAGCTCCCTCCTTTGATCTGAGTCATAAGTGTTGTATGGCTCATCACCCTCGAACAGACCCGGCACCTGGAATGATAAAATACATAAATAATCATCAAACTCAACAGGATAGAAAAATAATGAATAATCCAACCTCTCCGTTGGCCAACAGCGTGTTCAACCTTTCCAAGAATCCCGTGTCCAACATATTTGATTCGTCCATGATGAAGCACATCTTCTCATTACGGCAACCAGCTCGTCGCAATACCGTACGCATATCTTCATCAAAATCGGCAGCCGTGTATTTGGAGTGGACTTTAAGCTGAACAAGAAATAGATAAGCCGTTAAGATAATCAGTTCTCTGTTGATTTAATCAGCCGCACAGATCCACATTCACCAACCTGGAACACACTCAATCCATTCAGCCACGCCACAAATCGCGATAAAGTGGTCTTTCCAGCTCCTGCAGTACCAATGAGCAGGAGATGGCCTTGAGGTTGACGGTAGATTCGATCAATACGTAGTACATGATCGAGCATTTGATCGAACAGAACCAGCTGTACGTCAAGTTCTTCCTCGTAGAAGCCCTGAACACAAAATCCATTTAAACCATCAAAAAGGAATATGAGTGGGTAAGTAATCTCACCTTGAGTCTCGCTGTGACGTAATCCTTGAGCTCATCTCTTGTGACAGGTACGTAATGTTTCGACAACCAGCATGAGTAAAGAAGTGGCCGACGTAGCGACTCCTTGATATTGCAAGCGCCCCCGAAGTACCTGAACAAAGCAACATCAGCAAAACTATTTAAAACGTCTGGATTAAACCACACGTAGTAGTATTGTGCGGCCTTGGTGACGAACGTTAAAGTGGTCCCACACTAAGTATGAGCCTCGATGACTTGAAAAAGACGACCAACATCGAAAGTAAACACAAAACAATCACAAAAAACGATTTTCCTTTCCTGCCTGTCCCAATTCAATCACTTTGAGAGAGTCTGAAGAGTACAGTAACTGTGAGAGCTGACAAAACTAACTTTCTCTGCTGTTGAATCGACCAGCTCATCGGTCCATTCGCGCTCCGGTTCGGTAACGAGTCGATCTTGGAACAGTCGCAATGCTTCGTGAGCCCAAAGGCGTACGAGCTACGTGATCAGTGGACTGCATTCCGTCGCCAGCGTGGGCCAATCGCTTCACAGATTCACGAACCATCGAGTCAGCCCACGCACGGCGAATACCACATAATGTGAGGTTCCGATCGTCTTGAGTGAAGTGTTCCTAAGACAAGTGAGCTTAGAATGAACTGTATCACATAGTATATTGAATAAAACTGCAGTTTGAATTTAAGATACTTACCTGACTGGCCAAATAGACATCAACCATAGCGTTAGTGAGAGGATCGGCCAGACCACGAACTGCTGGCACCGTTTTGAGCATAGCTCTGGAATGTATTGCATGTCGGTTTTGATGCGAATAAATGATACCGAATAACTCAGCTTCTTAGAAGTAAAAAACATGTATTTTCCTAAAATCTAACCTATTAAAGGTTCCATAAATCTGCAATAGCGAAGTCTGTCCCGGATAGTCAACATAGACCACAGGAACATGACGCAGGAAACGTAACGTCATTGGGTGACGGCCAGGATCTGTGGGTGGGTTACAGGCACCCACAAATTGGATGCGCTCTAGCGACACCCAAGAGTGATCCGATGCACGATAGAAACCATTCTGAAAAGTGTCAGATAACAAAGGCTGTTAAACTTGTTGCTGTACGGCAGATTGTGATGTAATCTTACCATTTCCACAAGTTGTCGCAAGAAGCTGATCACACGTTGAGTACCGTATTTGTCCGGAGCCGGCAAGTTGATCTCGTCACAGAATATCACCAACCATCTGCTCAGTTGGACGGGTGCCAAAACAATGCCATTGGGAGTACGGCGATATTCGCAATAGTGATCGAACGTCTTCATCAATAGCTCTGGTGTGGTTGACGAGGAGAAGTTAACGTTCACCACATCCATGTCTTGCTGTGACCGTAAGGCGGCAAGCAGGGTCATTGTCTACAAAGTAATGCGTCAAAAAAGTGGAGGAAAGAGGAAGCAAAAAGCTTTTGAACAAGGAAAAGACTACCTTTCCCGAACCAGGTGGCCCGCACAAAACCAACGGTTTGTGTTCAGATAGCCATGCAGATAGCAGCATTTCGTGACGTACAGTGTCAATGGTTGGTACGACGAGATCAGCGGCAGCTACTCGGTGAGCTGCACAGAAAGAAAGGTATCAGAAATAAACAACGAATGATACAATCTTAAAATCAAAATCTAAACCAATCAAATCAAACAATCTTCTACCCGAAACTTCCTCTAAAAAAACTAGTGAGAATGAGATCACCTTCGATCTCCATCACAGGAACACGGCTCAACCACGGTTGCCATTCACCACTCATTTGCACTTCAAAGTCAATAAGTGGAGCCTAAAAACCTCATGAAAAATTATCTCATCATGAGAAACGCCATTCAAAGGCAAGGGCAATACGTTAGCAAACAAAGGCTTGAAAACGATGATGCTTAATACCTGTTGATTAGAAGGAAGGGTGAGGGTAGTTGAGTTTCGAATAAAGTCACTCATTGTGTTGACGACATTTCCATTTGCCGTCACCGCTAAACGCCCAGATCATATTTGTGAGCATTGTTCGAGTCACATAGGTTTCAACTTGATCCGGCTGGAAATAGGTGCACTTGGAAGAAAATTCACGGTTGCGAGCTCAGAACTGAGCTCCACTGCTATATGATAACTAAGCGGCAGCCCAAAAAACTAGTTCTTTTACCTATTCAGTGAATTTTCACGCTAGTACAACAATCATAAGTTATATTACTGCTTCAAGCCTACCAGATCAGGTCGTGAGAAAAAAAATCGAGGTTAGAATCTCAATAGCGAGAGCACTTACTGTAAGAGGGAAATCTCCTTGACTAGCGTCGTGATTGATGACACAGCGAACGGAATAGTTCATCATGGCAAAGAACGATGACAGCAGTCGCTGTTGGGTTGGAACCATTACATGATCCAAATTCGTTAGTGCATAGTTGGGCCAATGGGACGAGATCGTTGAAGTGTTATACCATTCTACGCTTGGCGTTCGCTATCGTTGGCAATTTTATACATTGTTTGTTGTGACCTGGCAGTTGCTTAACTGTTAGTTTACACTCGATGTTTGCCTCCGCTGAAACTTTAAAAGCTTGCTGGGCGGAAGTGGTGTAGTGACAAGTGGCGCGCTCACCACGCGAGCGGTCCGGGATCAAATCCTGGGTCGTGAGTCGCCCGGGCCAACCAAGCCTTCCATCCCTCCGGGGTCGGTTAATTGGTACCAGACTTGTCTGGGAGGATAAAAACACTGACTTGAACATCGGCTGGCCCCCGCAAGTCATTGTATAGGCCACATCGCATTCAAATGCCACTGCGAATGTACAAATGGAAGTAGAATGCGTGCCGCATCCCAAAAGGGATTGATCAACGGCAAATGCTTTATCCTTTTTTTATGTCGGTTAGCAGGTACTGGAATGACTAGCGTGCATCCATTTCCTAACAGCCTCCTTAGCATGGCCATGCTGCAGTGATCAGAATGCCGCAGTAATTCCGAAATATTTGAATTGCTTAGGATTTTTCGCGCTGTCAGTCTCGGTCTTATTCAAGAGCTTTGTTCTGCAACATTTCATGATTACGGATGTATTCTTTGAAAGCGCACATTCACACTTCCATCCAATTGTGTTGTTCTTTTAACACTACAATGCTTTTCCCCTTTTCAAAAGTGTCTCAGTACAGCAAGCTACTTTGCACGAGTTTCTTGCGGACAAGTGCTGCAGCAAGATTCGATATCAATTGAGCATATGGTCCCGAATACGCAAAAAGTAAATTGTGCAGTCGTTTTTCATTCAGAATGCCTTCTCGCCATATTGAAAGCTTAAAAGAAGGTTAGGGCGAAGGCAGAGACTGACAGAAATTAAATGAGGGTTGAAATCGTGGGGTTCCCAAATACGGGTGAGGGTGATAAGTCCAAAGAAGTCGAAAAATGGATGTCGCTGGCTTTTCTTCCCTCCGTTGTGCAGCCCCACACATTACAGCCCTACTGCACTTCCAACGGTGCACAATTTGAAGTAGCTGAGCTATGAAACTGTGCTGCCAATATTATACATAGAAGACCTCTTGCCCATGTAATGCCACTTTTCCTACCATCTGGAGGGCCTCTTTAAGAGATAAAAGCTTGAGACCCAACATGGTGGTGGGATGACCTCGCTGAGTTCTTCACCCACAGAACTGCAGCACTTAAAATTTCCAGATCTATTCACCTCTTCTTATAGGCAAAGCTAAGGGGATCGTAAAGGCTCTCATTTTCATCGAAATACCTTGTTTGAAACGAGCGATATAAGCTTTTGAATTTGAGGGTCAGAACTAGTGGCAACTTTCCGAGCAACGAAATATCTGCATGTGTTTTATACATCTACAACTACGCGACACTAGTCAATTTATAACAGAGTCGCGCACAGGATCTGGAAGGAGAAAAATCGTAGACGATCGCTGCACTTGATAACTTGTAGGAAACCGGCGTGGTCTTCAACGGCTAACCCTATGATGTTCGTACGAGCGCTTGCTGAAAACCCCACTTCACCATTCAATTAGTATAGCGCATGAACTTCAAAAAGGCTTAGCCTAGGTAAAGATAGAATTGAGAGCTTGCCGACTTTTCAATAGATTCCAATTCACACCTGGAGAGAAGTGGGACTGCAATGACGCAGCACACTGCCTCTGAATGGTAACCGAGCGAGTTGGAGCTGCATCTTCGGCAATCACTGCATCGCTCTCAATAGATACGTTGCGCAAGCGAGATAGGTAGTGCTCAAACATCATCTCTGTTGTTATGACCTGAAAAAGTCATGAATCAAGAAGGGCTGCAGCGAGGAGGCTTTGAAGCTTAACACACTTACCTCATCACTGAACCATACCATACCACAACGAGACACTGTAGCCAAAGTAGCGTATTTCAAGTCAGCGACTTCGAATATGATGCGCACCTTAAAGATTTTTTTTCGAAACAGTAAGCACTTCAATGAAATAGGGTAAGGCATAACTCAGGAAAACAGAAAAAATTAAAATAATTCTCAAAAAAAAACGGAAAGCAACCCCAGATAAATACGGTCATTTGCTTATCTTTCGACTCAAAAAAATGAACAAAAACAGGATGAGCTTACATTTGGTGGAATCGCAAGACGCTCTCCATTTGGCAGAGTGAGAAGTTTATTGTCGTCAAGGACTGAGTTCAAATTCTCAACCCATTCTGGATCCACATCTCCGTCAAAGATTATCCATTGGCGCTTCTCGCTTTCACCGCGGACGTTATCAATTATCCTGAACGTTTAGATAGTGAGGCATCCGCGTGACAAATGACCTGGCGAATGATTAATGTCCCTAAGTAGGTTTAAATGGTAGTCTTTCAAGTCGGGCCCTGCTTTTTAGAACTTTGTGGATGATGCATAGACGTGAAGCACAAAATACGGCGAAGGCAGGTGTGGCCTATACAGAATCGATTGTCAAAGCTGTGGAGACGAATATATAGGTCAGACGGCTAGTCCTCTCATGTGCGAGTTGAGGAGCATTCGGAGGAAAAGGATACGTCGCGCTATCTATTGCCTCAGGTTACAAAGGGTGGCAATAAATCATGAAAATGATTTTGGCAGCAGTAATCGTCGAGGTCTAATAGCGCGCGAACCGAGACAAGGCGCTTGGAAAGACCCAGGAGCCGATTTTGATCAGATGCGGGAATCAAACGAACAGCGAGAGAAAGCGTAGTCACCAGGTTTAAGCCTATCTATTACTAGTAAAGCCTTTGTGGATGTGTGTCGGTCTGTCGCTCTAGTATGTCCACTGTCACTAAATTCCCTAGCTCCTGGTCCACTGGAGGACCGGGAAAGTTTTGGGTGGCCAGTCGTATAAAAAAACATCAGTGAGCGGAGCCCCGCCCACAGTGGGTGGCAGTGCGTCGAAATGAAGTGTACTGCGACCAAGTTGGGTTCATTCTACTTTGGAAAAACAGCATTCGAAATGGAAGAAAGTAGTGTGGTAATGTGTTTTGTAAGTCTGATCGTGAGAGTACCCGGTGGTGGGGCGTTCTCCAAAAAAAGCAGTGCTTAACAAAAGGATTGATAACTTGGTTGGGAAAAGGCCTACAGAGCAGAAAACAAATTGGTGTAGGGGAGCAATGTCTAAGGTGTTCCCAGCATACACGACGTGGGCGGGGCGTGCTCTGAAGTGTACAGCATTTTCTACAAGTCCTCATAATTCGGGCCGGGGAAGTCTAGATGAGCCGGAAAAAGGTGGATAGAGGTGGGTGGAGGAGTGGAGGCCAGCTGTCATTGGTGGGCGGGGCTTGACCAAAGTGGGCGGAGTTTGCGACGAAAATTCATAACTCGGCTCCAAGAAGTCCCGGAGGCGGGAAAAAGGTGGATGGAGGTGGGTGGAGGAGTGGAGGCCAGCTGTCATTGGTGGGCGGGGCTTGACCAAAGTGGGCGGAGTTTGCGACGAAAATTCATAACTCGGCTCCAAGAAGTCCCGGAGGCTGGGAAAAGGTGGATGGAGGTGGGTGGAGGAGAAGGAGGTCGATTGCCCTTGGCAGCAGGTTTGCATCAAAGTGGGCGGAGTTTGCCAGAAACTTCATAACTTCCTCTGCCAGACCTACAACTCGGTTCTAAGAAGTCCCGGGTTTGTGGTTTCCACCTTTTGGACTGAAGTAGGTGAAATCGCGATACGTTAGCCGACTAAGCCATTGTCAGCCACATGTGCTGTTGAATCAAGAAAAAAGAAGTATATTTCCATTTACAATGCATGTGTTCCAATATGATGCAAAAAAACGTTTTGAAAACAAGGGGCATGGCCTGAAACACCTTCCTAGTTGAACTGCGGGATACCGAGACTATTAATGGAGCTAGGCCTGTGATATCCTGGTAATAAGTCATAGGCTTCAATAACGCTTACTGTTTTCGAGAAATCGTTTCTTAAGACCCATTCCCGTATTAAATTCATACCTCCTGATCACCGATGTGAACAATCCATCTGTCCATTCACGAGTATTCGGATCAAGCACACCGTACAAAGCATCTTTGCTCATCGCCTTCGCATCAATGACATGTGCTACACCTTCGATCTTCTCGAAACGCTCTAGAGCCTTCAGTAGCACCTTCCATGCAGTCGTTTTTCCACTTCCACTAGGGCCGACAAGCATGAGACCATGATTGAGGTTGGTGATCTGGTAAAGTTGTAACACTTTCTCGATCCAGGCCGCTCCCAATTCACCAGTGACATCGGCGTGACATAGCATGAGTTCGTCACACACTTGAGCGATATGCTGACGCAACCTAAGAATTTAAATGGCTCAATCAATACCATGAAGGTAAAAATTTCCGGCAGCCACTTGAACTCACTCAATCATCTGGTTGGGTGTATAGTGAATTGACGGGAAGACATCGGACAGCAGCGAGAAAAGTAGGGCAATGTCTTCGCTCACGAGTTTTGGCACCAACGTCTCGCAGACAGATTGGATGAGCATCTGAGGAAAGAGTTAAGAAACTCGAACAATTAAAAATCCGAAGAAATATCATAATAAGATTTTGAAAAGAATGTACCTGTTGCTCTGCCACGTCTTCCAGTGCTGCTGATCCCATCTTAGCGAGCTTATCACGTTTTACATTTCCTGCCGACACCAAGACGTACTTTAGCGCACGAAGACCAAAGTCGTAGTGACATTGAGACGAAGAGCTGCTCTTTGCAAAGACTAAACAAAGGTGAATTTAACAATAAGGAAAAAAACCTGCCCAAAAATACAATGTATAATCTTCAATTTTTAAATGACCTACATGAACAATGGTACAATCTTATTCGCAAGGACCTCTGCAGTACGGAACCCTTGCGAGAAGAGCATAACTTGCGCGATAAGCTGCCGATCGGGTTGGGTCATGGCCAAGCTTCGGAACAACTGAAAATTTTTTCTTTTGAAATTTGGATCTGAACTATTTTCTTCCTTGGCTGCTATCCTTGGCATTGATAATGCCGGT